TTATTGATCTTGACTGCATGATCTTGGTAATACGGATGTTTAAGGCAATTTTTCAACCTCTGAACCGTGGCTCGTTTCTCATTTAAGAACAATCACATGCACAGTTGAAACTGGTGCTAGGAAGAGAACTGCAGATTTTAATGGACGCTGCATTTAGTACAAAATGGTTTGTTCAGACAAAAAAAAAAGAGGTCTGAAAAATAATATAGAGTATTTCTAAATCTTGGCTAAAGGTGATATTAGACCCACTAACACACTAACGCACCACGGTCCATTGGTTGAAAACACTGATGTAGGGACATTTTATGAAATCTTTTATGACATGTTTCTCTTCCAAATAGCTAAATTAGAAACAATTAGGACAGTTATGTCTTTGATATAACTGTTGACAGTTTATCTGAGACATGATTGGTGCAAGTACACACACATAAAACAATGGTCTTTTCTCCACATGAACGTGAAACAAAGGTAAAGTATTAAAGTTTGAGACTAATTTAAATTTTTTATGAATCCGACCTGGCTTTACTGAAAAAGAAAAAAGAAAGAAGGAAAAAACATTTATTGCACGTGCATGAGTTTTTTTTAAGTAACAAGAGCTCATTAAAAATATAGGGGACACAGTTTGTGACAAGCCCGAGTAAAGACCACGTGGTTTAAACACTAAAGTTTGAAATGGATCCTTTTAGGAAAAATCTCTCAAAGCTTTGCATGTTCTGCAGGCTCTGAAAGTTGCAACAATAAAATAGCTCATGAGACAATTGTAATTGGACATGGAAAAATATAACAAAGTTAAAATTACAGGCCTCCTGTGTTGTCTATATGTTTGTGTGTGTTATATGTTTGTGTGGGTTATATGTTTGTGTATGTTATATGTTTGTGTATGTTATATGTTTGTGCGTCATGTCAAGTACACTACGTTGACCTTAACAAACTCTGGACCAATATACTAACTGGGGAGTCGGCCTGTGTTGTGAGTGTGATGTGAGTGTGTTGTGAGTGTGTTGTGAGTGTGTTGTGAGTGTGTTGTGAAATGAGGAGTGAATGAGGAGTGCTGAACGGAATCATGGAATAACAAATGTTTTCTGTAATGTTTTAATGTGATCATGGAATAATTATTTTTTGTCAACAGCATACGGTGTAAGTACTAGAGATTCAAAGATAACAAGCTTTATTGAACAGGTGTAAAAGTGAGAGTACTCTGGGATGAGTACTCTGAGAAAAGTACTCTGCGGAAAGTACTCTGAGATGAAATACCTTGCTGAAGGTACTGGGAGTCCCTCCCTCTGCTGTTTGTCCTGACAGTGATTCGGTCCAACCGCAGTGAGCGGTCATTGGGCGGAGGACAACTTTGGTTTGTAACTCACATTTAGGGGAGTATAAAATTAGAAACATATATATTGTTAAGTCTGTATTTGGCTACAGCCTCTGCCCTGATGTCACACACCGTCTGTCAATGTAGTTATGTTTTGCCCAATTGGATTGATTGACAGGCTGCACCATGCGAAGAGAGGGAAGTGGGCGTTTCTTGTGTTCTAATGTTTGTTTTTCAGATGAAAGATAAACTGCACCTGCTTCAGGGATACCACGGTAGTATGGATCATAAGGAAATGAGCCTCTACTTTGGCACCAAAGCCCACAATATGAATTGAGGACGATCCGGGAGGAACAACTGGAGAATGATTGGAACAGTAAATCTACACACACATACAGATGCATGTTTTATACTTGGCCCATGACCAATAGGGGGAGTATGGTAATGTTATTGTCATAGGTGGTCATGGTCCTTAACCTTCTAAATCATTAGAAAGAAGTGTAAAACATATATTTACAAGACCAAATAAATAATGGAAAGGGCAGCCTAAAAAGCAAAATGGGAGAATTATTAAGTAATATTCGGAGTTGCCAAAATGAAATAAAATTCTTTATTTGTCCCATAGGGGGTCATTCTAAATTTAGTGTTGTGCAGATTCAAAAGGAGAAATAATAGCGCTTATAACATCAAGCAGATCTACTCTTTAAGATAATAGATCATATAATAATAATAATAGAATAGAATGAAATAGTCTGGAGCTATAATGTCATTGGATTCAAGGAGCTATAGGTTGAAGTGTCAGAATAAACCATAGTAATAATAGTTAGACTAGTGAATAACCATCCATCCATCCATTTTCTTCCCCTTAATCCATTTCTGGGTCGGGGGGGGGGGGGGGGGGGGGGTGGCAGTCAGAGCTGCACCCAGTCCACAGAGCACCAGCCCCTCACTGATCCTCCTGCAGGTGGTGAGTCCACAGGAGTGAATAATCAAAATAGTTCTATTGTGGAAATAAGTATCAATAAGGTCAAATTGTTCTAATGACTAAAGTAAAAAGGAATCAAATGGAGTCAGATTTTAGATGTTTCTGTTTTCCACATCTGTAGGAACTAGTGCAGATGTGTTTATAGAGAGTAGTATTAAAATGCAGACATAGAACGACAGGCGTTAACACAATTTTAAATCTAAAAATAGCTCAAATATAACATTGCTCTTGACGCAGCCTCTGAGCTGCTCCATTGGAGAACAGGTTAAATGTTATTGTTTATTACAAACAGCTGATGTATTTACACATATTAAGTTTGGGACAACTCTTTAAACAGCTATAAGCAGCGGACAGAAGCCATGAATGTGCTTTTGTTTATTAAATAATTAATTTCATAGCCATATAATCGTAGAGAACGGTTTTAAAATAGTTCTCTTCCTCCCGCTCCCTTTCAGGCAAATTGAATAGATTCATGTCTTTAATATTGGAGAACGACTGTGTTGTTTTTGGAATTGTCTGAGATACAATACATAAAATAGTGATTTGCAGAACAAGAACCGGCCAATGAAAAATCGTCTATTGCCAATGCAATTGTTACAATCAGAACTCACAAATTGGGAATATGCTTTGGCTCAAACTACAACCAAGATTTGGAGTCACAATAGAGTATAAAATAGATAGATGCTTTCAAAAATAGAGATTATTTTTAGACAGGGCTAATATCAAGCGGTAAAAGGACCATTTCCTTCATATTATGTCCAAAAGTATTTACTTCAAAGGTAGATGAAGTTCATTACAGTTTATGCACAGGTTTATTAGATACTGTCAAATTCACTTGTTTCAAACATAGGTGAATGGTAACAATGCCAAAAGTTAATGAGATAGATTAATGAGATAGATTAGAAACAACAGAGATTCAAAAACATTTAAAAGCATTTTAATGTATTTGGGTATAGCACAAAAGTAGATATTTAGGTATTTTTTGAGAATTTTAAGAGCTGTCGATTTGTCAGCAACAGATTAGAGAATCAAAATACCGTTGTAAAGGGACTGACCCCAGAGAAACCTGCTAAAATAGATTAGCTCTTGTAAGGATAATACCAATTTGATTAACGATGTACATTTATCCCAAACGGTCTGAGAGGAGGAAGTGACAGCACTTCCTGGTTCAACAAAATGTATTTGGAAAAATTAGCAAAGCCCCACGAAATGGCCCAAAGCCACTGATAATGAAAGCAAACCACAGTATAGATAGATTTATTAGATAAAAACATATGTTTAAGAATAGGGCTCAATAAAAGCAAAATATGCAAACATATTTGTAAATAGATTAGAATAGTTTAAACTATAGTGAATAGTTTTAGTGCATACATTACAGACGAGGTTGAAGAAGAATCAGAATGACATAGCAGTGGTGATCAAATAGTATTGAAGGAATGGTAAAAATGTGGTTTGTTGTGTGTTGTTTGTTTTCTCTGTATTAACTCTTCACAGATATTAAGCCGGAACTAAGCACAAGGATTGATGATAAACGACGATGTGGATTGTGACCTAATTTTTAATCAGGTCAAAAGAGGGAAACTGTTGTATTTATAAATACGTGACATTCTAAAACCATGTGTTTTATGACCTAAACGACCTCTAAGTGGGAGGCCAGTCCTTCTTATTTTATTTTAGGTGTCTTCTTGTGCCAGCAACTGGACAACAGATGGATTCTGCTGTTTGTATTTCACCCCCCTAGTCTTGGCCTGCTGACTTCTGCACTTTTCAACCTCACTCCATCAGGAGTCTGGCAGACGGAGGAAAAGGCTGGACCCTAGACCAGAAGCTGGCTGATAGGACACTCCCCTCCTTCCTGTTCTTTTTATATGCTCTGGCTTGGGGAGAAACAGAGGGATCAGCCGAGGGCCAGAGAGGGACATATATAGTTTTAGGAGCACTCTTTGTTGGAATTTCTGTATCTGATTGTAAAGATAAAGTAAATACAGATGTTAAACTTGGAGATCTCTTGTCTTACTCTTGCATCGACTTTGAACACGTCAGTCAAAGGGAATTATTGACTTCACATCGCAAACATGAAGCAGTCCTTCCTCATTGACTGAAAGCAAATGTTCAGTCTTGTTCTTAGTCCAGTCTTATTATCGACTCAGCAGCGGCCGCCTGGCGCGGGGCCGCGCCACAGGATATGACGCACTACGTTGACAGAAATGTTGAAATTGAATATTACTTATACACATTTTTACAGCATTGAAATACGTTAGGAATGTTTTTCCTCCCACAGAAACCACATTCAAACTAGGAATAAAATATAGCCCTCCCACTCCATTTTCAGACATTTTTGAAAAGGCTCCAGGAGCCACTGGAGGAGCACTAAAGGTTGCCGACCCCTGGTTTATACAGTATGTGGAAGCATACTGAGCAGTGGCGGCTGGTGGAATTTTCTACTGGGGGGGCTATGAATATGATGACTAGATATATACCAGCAGTAAGTAAGTTTACACTGACTGTTGTGACTGAAGCCTCACACGAGAATCAACAAGGTCACATGATCAGGCCTTAGGCCAGGATTTGTTGGTAGACACTGCCATCTTGTGGTGCTTTTAAGCATAAAACTATTGTATTTATTTATTTATAACATCACAGTATTTACATTAAAACAACAAAAGTAACAGTACAATTAAATGTACAGTACTACTGTCCTACTTATTTTTTGTACATAAATTTTGCCCTTCTGTCCTTGAGAGTAGCAAATTTCTCAATGACTCTTTGGTTGAAGTCAGGGATGGTTTTAATAAGATTCTTCTCCATCGAGAGCATGGCCAATGCATTGAGACGATCCTGTGACATTGTGTTCCTAAGGAAGGTCTTGATTCTCTTCAGTGTTGAGAAGCACCTCTCAGATTCAGCTGTGGTCATGGGAGTTGTGATGAGGATCTTAAGCAGAGCAACAGTCTCTGAGAAGGTGTCCTGAAGATTGTTCTCCATGAAAAGCTGGTAGAGAGCCACAGCACCACTGCAGCTCTTGAACTCATCATTGCTGTAGATGAGAGACAGTTCAGTTTTCAGCTTGTTCTTGTTCAGCATTGGGTAAGCCTCCACAGTGGTGTTTAGTGCTGCTTCAGGGAACTGGCTGTGGTACTGTTGAAATCTGTCTGCCTGCAGCAGTGTAGCACTGATCAGATGCTTTGTGAAGGCAAATCTCTGCTTTGCATGGACCAAGATGGTGTCACAAACCTATAAAAGGAATGTACCAGTTTAGTACAATGTGGAGATGGCTATCAGTCAGCTTTCTAATACAAGTATTTAGAAAGTTATGTAATAACTATCTATTTATCAATCAATCAATCTGCCTGTTTGTCATGAAGAAATATGTGTTCATTGAATAGTAATAAACACAAATTAACATTGCGCCTTCATTAAAGTGGATTACAGGGCCTATTCAAAGCTTTGTTCCTCCTTACTCATAATATAGCCCTACTATTAAGCTTCTATCTCACCTCTGTGGATACCTTCTGAAGTTCACCGGGGCCCAGGGTGCGGCGTTTCTTGGCCAGCTGAGATCCACTGCCACTGTGTTCTCCACAGAGAGTGAAGAGGGAGTCTCTGAACAGAGCCAATAAGAGAAAAGTTAATCTTAAATCACCACATAAAATTACAAGGATTATTGAGTGGTTCAAGCATACTAGTGATTAACACAATATCAGTAATATTCATTCTTTAATGCATAGCATATTCTCTACAATGTCTCTATCTAAACGCTGGTTTCCAATATCTGCATGGGTCAGGATGGTATTTTAGCAAATGATCCACTTCACTGGACATTAGTGAGTCATCCAATACACTGACCCTGACTGAAAAGTAGATAATATAGTGTAAAATCTGATAAATTGTAATTATGAAGTTTGCCTCAGTGATAAACAGGACAAGAAAATTATAAAGCTAGATTTTACAGAATTTTTATTATATAACTATGAGAACATATTTTATTCATATTTTCATAGAATAGATAAAGATAGATAATAAAATAAAAGTCTAATAATATTTAAAAATAAAGAAAAGCATCACTTTTCATGTCTGGAGAAGTAAAATATTGAAATGTGGAAAAATGTGGCTCTTTTTTAAATAATTAATGCATCAAGAGGGTTAAACATTGCAACATACACATCAATTTACCTGATCTTTTGTATGTTGTCTGTGAACTTCTGCATGATTCCCTGAACAAAGACAGAATCGATGGTCCTCTTCTGGAGCTGGCTGTAGAGAATATCCACATGTGGCATGATGAGAGGAACAGATTCAGGAAGAAGCTGAAACTATCATCCTCCAGCAGCCTCACAAACCCTCCAGCTTCTCTCACAGTGGTAGGATCAAACTCTCCTGAATCCCTGATGTTTCCAAAACACTGGAGCAGGTCTTCTTTGTGCTCAAAAATAGTGTTCACAGCTTGGATGTGGAAGTTCCACCTCACTGTGCTTGCTCTTGGAAGTCTGTGGGCTACCACTCTATCAAGCACGCTGGTTCTTTTTGGAGATCTTGAGAAAAAGCTAGAGAATCCAGCCAGGTCTGAAAAGAAATGACTCACTTTTGGGATATGGGAAGTCACTTGCTGCATGATAAGGTTTAGTTGATGAGCATAGCAGTGGACATAGTGAGCATTTACATAAACATCTTGGACTTTCTTCTGTACACCTCCTGTGGCTCCTCTCATGACACTTGCACCATCGTATGCTTGGGAAATGAGCTTGCTCTTCTGGTCGTCAGGGAGAATGGAGCTCAACCTATGAAGAAGTGCAGTGGCGATGGAATCAGCTGTGGCACTTTGAAGAGGTATGAACTCAAAAAAACGCTCTTGGACATGATGGGCTTTATCGATGAAGCGAATCACAAGCACAAGCTGACACTGAGTAGAAATATCCATTGTTTCATCAGCTTGAATGGAGACAAAGTCTGCACTCCTGATTTCTCCAATGATGCACTCTCTCATGACTGACAGCATGCAGTCCAGGAGTTCATTCTGTACGGTCTTAGATGTCCCCTTAAACACAGTGGCGGTCTGCAGGTGTTCATGTAGTACTGCATCCAGTGATGCTACAAGATCCACCAATCCTCTGAAAACACCAGGATTTCCTGAGGATTCACTTTCATCATGGCCTCGCAAGGCAAGTTCAAATGCACCACAGAATTTGACACAGTCTATTATTTTTGATAGGATGTGCCTATTCTTGTCAACCTCCTCATTGTGCTTTCTGATCCCTACCCTGTAGCTTTCATCCAGCTGGGATGAAATATTTATCTTCCCAAACATAGCCAATTTGAGGGCATTTTGCATGTGGACACCAGTCTGCTCATGCTTCTTTGCTTTTTCTAAAAAGTGCTTGAGATCAGTCATACCTGTCTTGATCCATGCTGGGTCAGATCCTGATGTTTGAAACAAGAGGCATGGAAAGCAAAATAAAGCATTAGCCTCGCTACATGCTGCTAGCCAAGATTTGGCGCTGAACCAGGTCCTGGAAAAAGTACGAGTGTACCGTCTCCCCCTGTCGCTGGACTGCTGACTAATGGTAATATTTGGCTGATCAGGTCCAAGCTCTTTAATCTCAACCTTCTCCTGGTATGATCTTCTCTCAAACGGTATTTTTTTTAGTGATCTAACTGAATTATTATTTTTCTCTCTCTCCATTTTGCGTCTCTTTACGTTCGTCTCAAACTCCCACAGTTTGACCTGTCAATCACTGTAAACGGACGTCACAGACAGTGACAGTACAGGTCGCGGGCGACCCCGCCCCCTCAGGGCGCACTTCTCCTGCGCCCCCAAATCGTCTTATCTCTTGCATTGAAGAGGAGCTACTGCGCATGTACAACTTTTAACGAGAGTCCATAGACTGCTCAGGGCGCAAAGATTGCGCCCTGAGCCGTCTATGGACTCAGTCCTCAGTCCGACACAGACAACGCTGATGAGCTTAATCAATCCAACTCAGCATAAACTATAAAGTATTTCTTCCACATCTGAAATAAAACACACACATACATTTCGAAATATTTTAATGTTATTATTTTTTTTTAACGTTTTATTCAAGGTAACATGGCAAGTTGTGAGTGGTGGGGCGGCGCCCTAGCGCCCTCTATTGGCCGGCCGCCACTGATACTGAGGATCAGGATGTCTGTGGTTTCAACAAAAAAATAAAGTGCAATAGTCTACATTACAAGAGAGTAATAAACATGTCTCAGAGTGAGGGAGGTGGACAAAGACAATACTATTGTTTGTTACAGGGATGAGAATTGGTCAAAAAAGTCTGAAATGCATATTGTCAGCCATTAGCTGGCTCTAAATCTGTTTAATCTGTTCACAACATTTTACTTTTGGGCTCAAACATGAACTTTTAATGCAATGGAAAATTTAGGTACCCGGGCTTTAATTTAGTCGCACTTCGAGAGGAGAGGGGAGACGCAGACTTTTTCCTGCAGCGGTGTATTTATTGGGTGCACAAATTACGCAAAGACACGCATGGTCCTGTGCGCGTTTATGGTCTTGGGTACATGGTCACGTTGCGGCTACGCTCACCGTGTTGTGTTGTGAGCGGTTCCCGGTGAGCGGTTCCTGCGTCCAGCTCAGAGCCGCTGGATGCGGGAACACTGCGGCCGCTGAGGTGGTGGAATCCCGTTCGAGTACATACAGCAGGTGCCCCGCGGACACGCGCGCTCCCTCGAACAGTTCTCAACGGATTTACACTTTTCACAAACATTTTTTTTTGTATGAGGCAAACAGACCGGCCCAAATATGGGCATCGGCCCTTCGGGCATTGCCCGGTACGCCCGATGGCCAGTCCAGCCCTGGCTATAAGGTAAGACCCATAACTCATAGTTTTGCGTTTTGTATGAACAAACAATGCGGGCATAAAACATATTTTGCTGTAGCCAAACAAATTGTCCACTTGATTTATATGATGTATATGTTCATCTGATTGGACTGAAGTCAGTGCTTCACCAGCCTCACCGCTCGTCACCGGTGTTTCCACATTCACAGTGGCGGGCTTTACAGCACAGAGATGAAGAGTGAACAGGACTTCAGCAGCAAAACAGCCTTTTCTAGATGGAAATATTGGCACTGTTAAAGGTAAAAATGCGCATGTCGGGTGCACATTATGTTCCAGAACAAAACGAAAAAGTAACGCAATAGTTACTTTTACTGGTAACTAGTTACTTTTATAGTGGAGTAACTCCGTTAGTAACTCAGTTACTTTTTGGGAGAAGTAACTAGTAACTATAACTAATTACTTTTTCAAAGTAACGTGCCCAACACTGGGTATAAGGGGTCATCTTACTGAAACATTTGGGAACCCCTGAGTAGAATAAAGTTGAAAACAGGAATATTATCGATCATAAGTCTATTTCACTTTTGAATTTCAACTCACAATGTGAAAAGAATGTATGACATATGCCCATATTTACACATAAAGTCAGATACTAATTCAATTTGGAGAGACGTGAAACAAGAAGCTTTTGAGTATTTTATTGGGAGGAGGTTTGGCGCCCTAGGCCCCGGTGCGGCCTTCAGATCGGAGGGGCTCCTGCGATGGAGCGCGCACAAACCCCCGGGACCTAGGCACTGGTGGCGGCATTTGGCAGCGGGAAGCAGATTGAAGGCAGATTGGAGGCAGGGTGAAGAGGAGGAGGAGGGGAGGCGGTGGTTGCAGGCTTCGAGAAGGCAGAGAGTGGGAGTTTCTCCGCTTTTAAGCGGCTGCCTGGCCGGTACGGTGATTGGAAGGGGGCGTTTGCTGTGCGATAGGCTGGGGATGAGAACCGGCCTGGAGGGGTTACCTTTGGCTGACGTCTACCAAATTGAATTTCCGCTGGCTGCATTAGGGGACGTGAGCTGGGTTTAGACCGTCGTGAGACAGGTTAGTTTTCAACCTACTGATGTGTTGTTGCAATAAGTATGGCGCCAGATTTACGCCAAAAGTCCACACGCGCAAATAATACATACACGCGCAGCTTTATTTAATTCACACGCGCGCAAACCACTCTCCACGCGCATATTTCACCCCACACACGCGCAGATTCAGTACCACGAGCAACAATACGCGCGTGTGTGCGTTCGTGACATGCCTTCTTCCTGCTCGTGGTCTGTGTTCTGCGCGCGTTGAAAACTTTTGCCATCTCTTCTACGCGCGCGTGAAATATACTTTTGTCGCTTGGGGGGCGGGGCCACTGCTTTCCAGGAATTCCCGCGGTTAGAAAATTTGGTTCAGAACACGAATACTTCAGACAAGAGTTGGTAAGTGTTTTATATTTAATTAATATATGTTATAAACGTTTTAAATAAATGCAGTAATGGATGTGAGGCTATATCTATATTATGAGAGCAGTTGTACAGTACACTTAATTCTTAATGAATTGTACTGTTGTACACGTAATTAAACTACATATCATGTGTTTGTGCTACAATGACATTATAACATTTTTTAAAACTGTCTTTCCATAGCTAACATCGCGCCGGTGTCCCAATCGTTGTTTGCCCATGTCCATCATTTTAATTAATTAATTGATAGTAACTAAGTTCTTCTAATTTTTAACTGAAATTTAGTAGAAAACTACTGAAATAAAGGACGTAGCCTACATTGTAATATGTTTATATATCAAATAAATACAAAACGCTCACCAAGTATTCGTGTTCTGAACCAAATCTTCTAACCGCGGCAATTCCTGGAAAGCAGTGGCCCCGCCCCCAAGCGACAAAAGTATATTTCACGCGCGCGTAGAAGAGATGGCAAAAGTTTTCAACGCGCGCAGAACACAGACCACGAGCAGGGAGAAGGCATGTCACGAACGCACACACGCGCGTATTGTTGCTCGTGGTACTGAATCTGCGCGTGTGTGGGGTGAAATATGCGCGTGGAGAGTGGTTTGCGCGCGTGTGAATTAAATAAAGCTGCGCGTGTATGTATTATTTGCGCGTGTGGACTTTTGGCGTAAATCTGGCGCCATAAATAAGCCTCTATAAGCCTTCATTTGTTGTAAAAAAAAAAAAAAAAAAAAAAGGAAATTAAAATATTTAATAGGCATAAAATATGTATAAGCTATTATCATCAACATTGTATTAGAGACACATTTTAAACTGAATTACGGAAATAAATGATTAGTATTCTAATTTTTCCGGGTTTCACTTGTACAGTAGTTGGAAAACACAAAATATCTGCTCAAAAATTCTTGACTTGTTACTAGGGGTGTGTATTGCCTGGCATCTGGCGATACGATACGTATCCCGATACATAGGTCACGA